CAGTTCCCCATGTTTAAGGCCACTCCCCAGCCAGCCATTAAGAAGAAAAGTATTCCTTGCTAGGAGTGGACAAGGCCCACTTAGTAATCCAGTGATTGAGAGAGATAAGAACACACCATGGGGCCAGCATCAGGACCACCAGTTGGATTCTCTCATGATGTAGGGAGACTACAAGGTCAAGATATGCCCACCTTAAGCATGAGGCTCTTCTAGGCTACCTTCCAAATCTTCACAGTTCATGAACAAAGTCTGGCACACACTTCTTTTCCTATACAGGATCCCATACTAGCACACTTAGCCCTGAGAAACTGCCTCACAAGGCAGAACAAGCTGGGATAAGCAGGGGGTCCCCAGGCCCTGTGACATCTAGGAAGGGACAGGCACCTACTCTTACAAACCAAGAGAATCTGGTAAGGAGCTTCTAGAGCCCAGCCCTCCAATCATGCACTGGCTTTGAAGGTGATCACAAAGTGTTTTTAAGCTAGGTAAAGCGTTGTGATATACCTTTGTAATCCCAACACTTGAGAGATGGAGGCAAGAGCATCAGGAGTACGTACAGTATTTAACAACGTAGGAAGGGAGAAGAGCACCTGTTGTAATGAACAGTTGTGAGTTTCATTATAACTTGGTCACAAGTTGATCACAGTGGAGTGTCTGATATACTCATGAGTCTATGGGTCTTAGCCCCGGAACACAGCAGGGCAGGACCCCTTACACAGAAAGAACAAATGCTGACATTATGACATCCCATGAAGCTACACAAAGTAAATAAACAGACAAAGGACATGGTCAATTTCAGCAGACCAGGAAATATACGCCTGACATACATGGGAAATCCAGGAGGGCTCCCCCAGCACAACTGCACCAAACAGATAACATGGCCTTCAAGTTACCATGTAAAATGAGGATAACAGTAGCTCACACCCCATAGTACTCCTGCAGGATTTCAAGAGCCAAATTAGAACTGAGACCAAATGCTTAATTACTGGGATGTGTTAGTTTTAAATAGTTAAATAATTTAGAGTGAGACTGCATCCTATGTCTTCCTCTAGGTGAATTTAAGAAAAGAAGATAAAAATTCAAGACAAGGCCGGGCGTTGGTGGCGCACGCTTTTAATCCCAGCACTCAGGAGGCAGAGGCAGGCGGATCTCTGTGAGTTCGAGGCCGGCCTGGTCTCCAGAGCGAGTGCCAGAATAGCTCCAAAGCTACACAGAGAAACCCTGTCTCGGAAAAAAAAAAAAAAAATTCAAGACAATGTCAGAGCCAGCATGATGGCTCAGCAGATAAACGTGCTTGTCATGGAAGCCTGATAACCTGAGCATAATCCCTGGAATCCACATAAAAATGGAACAAGAAAGCCACCTCCACAAAGTTGTTCTCTAACTTCCCCTTGTGGACCTCCATACACACCTGTGTATGCATACATACATACATACATACATACATACACACAAGACATATACACATATAATAACAAAATTAAAATACAAATAAAGTGAACCTTGATCCTAAAAGAAAGAAAGAAAGAAAGAAAGAAAGAAAGAAAGAAAGAAAGAAAGGAAAAGTCAAGGTTAGGAGCACGATCTGAGCAACCCATTTATTTTGTAACACCCAGCATTCACCAAGAATGCCATTCCATACATCTCTGAGACATTGGAAGGAAGAACTTCCAAAAGGTAAAAATGAAAAGACCTGAAATCAGAGGAAAGCTATCTTACAACCCCTAAAACAGGACAGAGACTCCAGTAGAGAGCCAATGTGACCCCAACTCCACAAAATATTATGTCCTAATAACCTTCTCAGAAGCAAAGAATGCCAAACACAGGCCGAAAGGTTTTCAGAATTACATGTATCAAATATGTGTCCAGTCCAGCAGACTTACCCCTGTTTGATAGGAGGAGTGTGGATTGAGGAAAGAAATAGATAAGAAACAGAAGACAGAGTCAGGAGGGCATCCAGCAAATACCGTGATCAGCCCCAAGTTTATTGCTCCAAGTTCTTATATACCCCAATCAAAAGAGGGGAAGGCAAAAGACTTCCTTACCAGAATACAAGGAACAAACAAATGTAATTACCTCCTTAACACCCAAAATACCAAGTAACCACACCCTAAACCAAATATTCAGTTGTTTAGGTAAGACATACAATAACTACTCCTTAGGCCAAACATCCTGTGGTATAACCTGAAGGAGCAGTAATAGGCTCAAACTCAATGACCTAAGTCAAGACGGAAGGAAGCCATTTCTATGGGCCTCCACAAATATGCTATCTTCAAACCAACTGAGAAGGAAAACTTCCTGAGAGGGTACATTGCAGGGACCAATTTAGAGAAAGCTATGCACATAAGCAGCAAGATAGACAAGGACTATTCGGGCCAGCATGGTTTGACAAAGGCAAGGGCTGGTAAACCAGTCAGGAAGAAAGGCAGGTACCTAGGCAAAAAGGAGAGAAGGGAAGAAGGGAGAGAGAAGAAAGAACAGGCAAAAAGAAAATAAAACTTAAATGCTCATGAAGAAGAAAGCTATGGTATAATCAGCAGTGAAAACAAGGAATTGTACAAGAACCAATCTTAAACCAGGAACACACCTGCTTTTAATCCCAGCACTCAAAATGTAGAGGCAGACAGATCTCTGTGAGTTCAAGGCCAACCTGGTCTACAAAGTGAGTTCTAGAACAGCCAGGACTGTTACACAGAGAAACCCTGTCTTAAAAAAACAAAAACAACAAACAAAAAGAATGAATCTTAGCAATATAAGACATGAGAACCTTCCCACTACAAAAGATTACATATAACAAGATTCCTTTATTTTAATATAAAAAACCTAAACACACTGCTTAAAAAAACAGTTTAACAAGACTGAAAACCCAGACTTCAGAAAGATGGTTCCCTTGAATCTGGAAGAGAACTAAAATTAGGAGGCAAAATGGGACAGCCTTCTACTTCCTAAATTGGGTTTAAATGTGTTTGTTTTAATTTCTTTTAATACTTCTGTGTGTGTGTGTGTGTGTGTGTGTGTGTGTGTGTGTGTGTGCTGGAGCCTGAAGAACTCAGAAGAGGCATCAGATTCCTAGGAACTGGAGTTACAGACAGATAAGTCACCATGTAGATGCTGGGAACTGAACCCAGGTCTTCTACAAAATAGTAAGTATTCTTTTTTGTTTGTTTCCGTAACAGAGTTTCTCTACAGCTTTGGAACCTGTTCTGGAACTTGATCTGTAGACCAGGCTGGCCTCGAACTCAAAGATCTGTCTGCCTCTGCTTCTGCCTCCTGAGTGCTGGGATTAAAGACGTGAGCCGACACAACCCAGCCCAGTAAGTGTTCTTTACTGCTGAGCCATCTCTCCAGTCCTCAATTTATTTCATAATGATGCAATGTATTTTTATTAAATGTGAGTGTGTGAGTGTGTGAGAGACAGAGAGAGAGAGAGACAGAGACAGAGAGAGACAGAGACAGAGAGAGAGACAGAGAGAAAGACAGAGACAGAGAGAGTGCCTATGTGTGGAGGCCAGAAAACAACTTTCAGAAAGTCAGTTCTCTTTCTACCATGTGGGTCCCAGGTATCAAACCCTGTCAGCCTTTGGCGGCAAGTGCCTTTACCCCCTGAGCCAAATTGCTGAGTCCAAACTGTTGGGCTTTATTTACTTTTGTTTTTTGAGGCAAGGTCTCCAGAAGCACTGCAAGTGCTGGGAAGACAGGAAGGCACCATCAGCCTGGCAATTGTTATTTTTGTATGGAGGTGAGTGAGTATTAAACTCAGAGCTATCCACATGTTATGCAAACCCTCTACCACTGACTGATAATGTGTAATTACTATTTACTTCATTATTTTACATGTTACATACACAGGCACATACACTCAGTGTGCAATTCTAAAAAGCAACAGTGCAATATGAAATAAAAGTAGCAGCCGGGCAGTGGTGACACATGCCTTTAGTCCTACCACTCAGGAGGCAGAGAAGGCATATCTCTGAGCTCGAGGCCAGCCTGATCTACAAAATGAGTTCCAGGACAGCCAGGGCTACATAGTGAAACCCTGTCCCAAAAAAACAAAAAAAGAAAAAGAAAAAGAAAAAGAAAAAGTAGCTACATAGAGCATTCAAAGCTATATAACCCCACCTTGTCTCAAACAAAATAAAGATATGTATGAGATAGGAATTTTTAGAAAGCATGACTTTCCTTCAAGTAGCAGTTTTAATGTCAAAGGTGTACTTCTCTAGGTATCTAAATGCACTAATTCCTGCTATAGCAAATAAGGATTGGATCACACTGTGGTTTTCTGCTTTTAGAACCAACCTATAAACAAAACTCAGGACACCTAATTATGTCTCCCTAATACACTGCCAGTGTCACCAAACCTTGCTTTGTTTTTTCGAAGTTGTATCACTTCAGCATACAATGCTATGAAACCTTAATTTATAGAAAAAAAATACCATTCCTCAAGCTAAACTGTCAATGCTACAAACTTCTATTTTAAAAGTCATACAGGAACTGTGGAGATGGTCCCTGTGTGACAAGTTCTTGCTATGCAAACATGAAGACCTGCGTTTTCATCTTTAATCACATAAACAGCCAGGCATGGATGCACGTACCTGCAATCCCAGCATAGGGGGTGAAGATCAGTGAATCCCCAGAGCTCACTGGCCCGCTAGCCTGACCTAAAAAGGGAAGCTTGCAGTTCAGCCGGGGCACTCCGGAGCTGGCGGCTCCCTGTGCGCGGGTCAAACGGCCGGAACCCGCCAGCACCCGGGGCCGGGGCCGGGCGGAGGGAGTGCGGCGCGCGAGGGAAGGGCCAGAACCGCTCCACGACAGCGTGAGACCTCGCCTGGCCGGCCGCCACCCGCAAAAGCTCTTCCGAACACTGGCGTCTCACCTGAGCCCGGCGATCGTCCCCCGACGGATTCACAACCTGAAGATCCCGCGCGCTGCCAGCCCACCGCCCAATCGCAGAACGACTCGCGCAGAGTGACAGGGGACAAGAACCAATCAGACACGCTATGGGCGGGCCTCGGTGAATGCGCGCTGCAGAGCGCGCGCAACGGTTGCTAGGGACTCGCCGGACGCTCGCCCTACCGCGCCTCCGAGGAGCCAAAAGAGACCGACGTCTCTGCCCCACGCCACGGGGCTGCCGTTTACGCCCACGGCGGACCGCGAACGGTGAGCGACGCGCGGCCCGCCTTTTCTGTGGAGGGTGAGCGGAAGCGGACGACACGGGGGTTCATCGTGGGCTGCAGGCGGCGAACGTGCCCTCCCCGGCCGGACCGCGGCCCCTCCCTCCTGCTCCGAGCATCCGTGACAAAAAAGCGGCCCGTGGCGCCAGTAAACCAACGCGCAGGCGCGGAACACAGCGGTCTCCCAGGGCCGCCGGCCCCCGGTGCTGACACACATCGGCGAGGCTCCCGAGGTCGGGGATACGAGGCTAACCTGCCTCACCTGTGGCCTGTAGCGCTCTCCTGGCCGCAGTACCTCCTCCGCGCCTCCGAAGTCGGCACGGTAACGTGGGCGAACCCGCAAGCTTGAGATGTCTGCCATGCTGCCTGATGCTTTGCCGGGAAGTCGGCTTTCGCCCCGCTCGCCTAGACTCCACTCAAGCCTCAAACGCCTAGCTCAGGTGGAGCCGGGGCTTGCGGGAACTACAACTCCCATGAAGCACCGCTTCCACGCAAGCGTGTCAGCTCGCGCTTCTATGCTCGCTTCTATTGGCTGGCTGACAGGGCGGGGAGTTCTGATTGGCCCTTAGCCTGAGGCGACAGATTCCGGAAAGGGGAAGAGCAGCCAATATGGCAGGGGGGCG